GTTGGCTGGAATTCCATTGTAGCGGTGTGACGCACAGTCTGGAGAAACCAAGGTCACAAGTTAGGTGCTGACGAGTCACAAGTGTGCCCTGGCGTTCTCCGATCCAGTCCAGTACTGATTCAACTGCAGAAAGGCGGGTCAGGATCTCCTGATCTATTTGAGCCTGTTGGACTAATTCTGAAGTAGCACTGATTAAACAATAAGTGCAACCAGGTATTAAACTGTCAGACTCATAAGGAGGGCAGTGCATTGTTAAATGCTATAATGCCATTTGGATTCATTCATTTTCTGGTCATATTCTGGAGATGACAGATTTGGAAAGAGTTGGAAGGCACAATTAAATCATAACCACTATTAATGACTGGTCTTGTTAGATTTATGCAAAGAAACCTTATGTCATTATTCACTCCTTCAGAATGCCAAATTCTGGAGGGATCAGGTAGGGAGAAAAATATAAAGTGTGAAGGAAAATCCTTTTCCTTCTGATATCTACCAGGCTTGTGAAAACTTTCACTTCCACAGACCTTCTGCAACATTCACAAACCCTCTAATCTTTCTTTCATACCCCTTCTGATATTCACCAAGATTGCATTTCCATGCCTTATACCTTCAGTTATTAACTAACACCACACAGTTCCTCCCTAAAACTTTTACTTTTCCATTTATCTTTACAGTTTCCCATTTACATTCCTACAGTGTGAAGTTTCAACCTTCCCTGGAATCCTCAATTTCCTTTTCAGAGCAGATACAGAGCAAAATCCATCCTTCTCTGAGGGGTGAAGGTGGGGCCTCCGTGATCTGCTCACTCAATTTGCACACCATTTCACTGTCAGAATCAGATTCCTCCTCGTCTAGCTCTGTTTTCTTTGTCCAAATGAACTTGAGAGAATCCCTGACAAGCCTCCAGGTTACAAAGGTGTGCACACCAATAGATATACCACTGTTTTGCAAAGATTTCAACCTTTCACCCACTTTTTCCCAAACATCAATGTCTAACGTCCCTCTATCAGGAAATGAAGGACAATATTTTCTTATAGATTGCAAAAGCTGAACCAGATGCTTTTCATTCACCTTATATTTTGCTTCTTTAAGAACTTGTAATATACACAGAACCATGGGGGTGCTCGCAGTGGGGTATCTGGTGCCGGGGGCGCCTCCCGAAGCGGCAAGATGGCGGCGCCTCCTGACGGAGGAAGCAACATGGCGGCGCTTCCCTCGCCCGCTCCTTAGTGGGTTCCCCCTCGCGTACGTGGCGGGCTGGAAAATCCGCCTATATCCTGCAAGGAAGAATCAGGCTCCTCCTTCCGGGGATAAGGCGGGGGTGTATTCACAGGGTCTAAATGGTCTTCTTGCGGTCCTGGTAAGATGGGGTACAGCCTCAACTGCCCCGGGGGCCCGCCTGATGCAGTGACCGAGGTCTCAGTTCCCTCCCCTTTGCCTTATTCCTCGTTGATGCTAGGCACACCGCCCGCCTCCCTCTCTGATTTCCACCCTGACACTTCTTGATGTACCGGGGCCGCTCGGTGGCAATATCAACCCAGACATCTATATAGAGGAACTGATCTGGATGGGGAACCCTGTATACTGTGGCTCGAACAGCAAAGAGGGTGGGCAAGTCAAAGGTCCCCTCCGAGGGCCATCCAACATCAAAAGTGGGCCACTCGAGCTGGCTTAATGTTCTTAAAAATTCTGGATCTGGTGGGGGTCCTCCATACCCTCGTGCCCGCTGCTGGAAATCGGAGAAATTCTTAAGGAGGCAAGCGAGTGGGGATCCTGGCACTGACTCCTGCTGGCCCATTCTAATAAGGTCCGGGATGAAGGAGAAGAAACAAACAACACAAACCAACAAGGCGACAGACAATGCAATATCTCTCACACACGAACTAGGCATATAATCCAAAACTAATCGCAGCGCAGCACGGCGCAGGGAAAGAGGATATCTAACGTGGCCAGTCACTCCTAAGATTACTGAAACCAAATTTCAAAGAGCGGCGTCTCACCTATGAAAGTCCCTGGGTAGGTTACCGGTGGCGTCCCACCTACAACCTCAGGGTAAGATTGCTCCAGAGCCCAGAAACCAAAAGAGGATCCTCAGCGAATACTTACTCAGCTCAAGCCGCCTGGAGGTCTCCAAACCGAAACTTCACCGAGGGAGATCTCGCTGGGGCCTCCAAATGTTGCATCCAGCAAACACGAGAACAAATGTCAGAGACTTTCAGGGTATCAAGGATGTTACTTTATTGGCCAAGTTTAACCTGCACAGGGGCGAACTCTCAGAGCGTCCAGAGACATGGTACCCACAAGGGGCTGCAAACGAGAGACGCGCCGAGCGCTTACAACTAAGTCCTTATATAGGGGCAGGCAAGCAAGCATTATACAGAAGCAGATGTGACAGTTAGCAATTTGCTTACAAGGACCGCGCGTGGGAATTCCAAACCAAGCATTCTTGCATAAGGCAGGAAGGCAGAATGTTTGTTCAGTAACCTAGTAATCTCCTGGCTCTAGCTAGCTAGGTTCCTATTTTCTTATGGCCAAAGTTTTTCCCTTACAGTTCAATAATCACAAAGAAGTAAATGTAATACATCACATAAACAAAAGCAAAGACAAAAATCACAGGATCATATCAATAGATGCAGAAAAAGCATTTGATAAGGCACAGCACCCATTTATGATAAAAACACTCAGTAAAGTGGGAATAGAGGGAGCATTTCTCAACATAATAAAGGCCATAAGTGAGAGACCTACAGCCAACATCATACTCAATGGGCAAAAATTAAAATCTTTTCCACTAAGATCAGGAACAAGACAAGGCTGTCCACTTTTACCACTTCTATTCAATATAGTATTGGAAGTTTTAGCCACAGCAATCAGAGAAGAAAATGAAATAGAAGGCATCCAAATCGGAAAGAAGGAAATGAAACTGTCATTGCAGATGACATGACAGTGTATGTAGAAAATCCTATAGACACCGCCAAAAAACTGCTCGGCCTAATAAACGAATTTGGCAAAACAGAGGGATACAAAGTCAATATCCAGAAATCAAAAGCATTTTTGTATACCAACACTGAAACATCAGAAGCAGAAATCAAGAAAAAAATCCCCTTTGATAATGCAAGAAGAAAAATGAAATGGCTAGGAATAAGCCTAACCAAGGAAGTAAAAGACTTGTATGCAGAAAACTACATAACACTGAAGAAAGAAATCAAGGAAGACACAAACAAATGGAAACATATACCATGTTCATGGATCAGAAGAATTAACATCATCAAAATGTCCATACTACCCAAAGCAATTTACACATTCAATGCATTACTTATTAAAGTACGAATGGCATATTTCACAGACATAGAACAAACACTTCAAAAATTTATATGAGACCACAAACAACCCTGAATAGCTGCTGCAATTTTGAGAAGGAAGAGCAAAATAGGAGAGATCACAATACCTGAGACCAAACTGTATTATAAGGCCACTGTAATCAAAACAGCCTAGTACTGCCATGAAAACAGGCACGTGGACCAATGGAACAGAACAGAGAGCCCAGAAATAAACCCAAGTCTCTATGGTCAATTAATATTTGACAAGGGGGGCAGCAACATAAAATGGGGTAACAATAGCCTCTTCAACAAATGATGTTGTGAGAATTGGACAGCTATGTGCAAAAAAATGAAACTACAGCACCAACTTACACCATACACAAAAATAAATTCAAGGTGGATAAAAGATTTAAATATAAACCATAACACTATTAAAGTCCTAGAGGAAAACATAGGTAGGAAAATCTCAGATATTTCACACAGCAATATTTTCACTGATATATCCCCTAGAGCAAGGGACATAAAGGAAAGAATAAACAAATGGGATCTCATCAAAATAAAAAGCTTCTGCAGAGCTACAGAAAACAGTATCAAAATAAAAAGAGAACCAACTGAATGGGAAAACATAGTTGCCAATGATACCTCAGACAAGGGTTTAATCTCCAAAATATATAAAGAATTTACACAACTCCACTCTAAGAAGACAAGCAACCCAATTAAAAAATGGGTAAAGGACTTGAACAGACATTTCTCCAAGGAGGACATACAGAGGATCCAGAGAGTCATGAAAAGATGCTCAATATTGCTAGCTATCAGAGAGATGCAAATTAAAACCACAATGAGATACCACTTCACACCAGTCAGAATGGCTATCATAAACAAAGCAACAAACAACAAGTGTTGGACAGGTTGTGGAGAAAAAGGGACCCTACTGTTGTCCCTTCTAGTACACTGTTGGTGGATTGCAGACTGGTACAACCACTATGGAAAACAGTATGGAATTTCCTCAGAAAACTAAAAATGGATCTGCCTTTTGACCCAGCAATTCCTCTGCTAGGATGATATCCTAAGAACCCTGAAATGCCAATGCAAAAGAACCTATGCACCCCAATGTTCATAGCAGCACAATTTACAATAGCCAAGTGTTGGAAGCAACCTAAGTGCCCATCAGTAAATGAATGTATTAAAAAAACTATGGTACATTTACACACTGGAATTCTATGCATCAGAAAGAAAGAAGGAACTCCTACCCTTTGCAATAGCATGGATGGAACTGGAAAGCATTATGCTAAGCTACATAAACCAGGCAGTGAAAGACAAATACCATATGATCTCACCTTTAACAGGAACCTAATCAACAAAACAAAGAAACAAGCAAAATATAACCAAAGACACTGAAATAGAGAACAGGTTGACAGTGTTCAGAGGGGAGAAAGGAGGGGATTTCAGGGGAATTTCAGGGGAAAAGGGGAAGGGTTTACAGGAACAAGTATAAAGGACACATGGGCAAAAACTAGGGGCAGGTGGAAATGGGAGGGAGGTAGGGAGGGCTGGGTGGGTGAGCTGGAATGGGAATAAAAGATAGAAAATTGTACTCGAACAATAATTAAAATAAAATTATTTTTAAAATAAATAAAATAAAAATATTACAAAAAATAAAATAACCAAAAAATGACTCTATCCCTATGCTTCTACACTGGCAAGTTAAGGCCTCTGAATAGTTTGAATCCAAGTTTGGTGAACTTGGAAAAGTCACACAGGGTTCCCCCCAGGACAACTGGTTCTGTACCAATTTAGAAATTTCCTCAAAGGACGGGGTTAACTGGGTACCTTTTGTGGGCAGAGAAACTTGACTGGAGTCACTTTGAGTTGTAGTAACAGTTGCCACCGTGAAACGTCCATAAACAATAAGCAGTAACGTAAATGATAATCATTGCCATGATGATATGATACATGGTCATGTGTTCACTCTTTTTTAAAAAGAGAGGTGTAACTTTAATAGTCTCATCATAAGCTTGCATGGTGACAACAGAACAGATTTTGTGGGCTGACTACACTATAGGCAAGGTAAATGTCAAATCACTGTATTTTACATCTGCAAGTAACAAGCTGTTATATACCAGCCATATTTGCAGAAAATAAAAAGCATTACATAGCATTTATGCCTCTGCCTTCCATTCCCCTCCACTTGGAGAAAGCTTAACCATCCTATGTGCAGTACTTTTAAGTGAGCATGTTGGCAAGTATGGGAATAACCAGTCAGCTTCTCGACCCAGTTGCTGTGCCCACCAGTATAACTGCAGGCCTGGTCAATTGGTCAACTTCAGTGCCCAGGTAAACAGTCATCCAGACAGCCAGAGATGTCCCTTGTAAAGCCAAAATCCATGGGTGGGTGGTGCTGGAGAACCAGGCATGGACACCAGCTCTGCTGGTCACCTAGGAAGGATGTGGGAATAGGAAGAAGCAGAGGAGACAGCATGTAAGACAAGAGCAGTGTCCAGCCTTCCTCACCCACAGGAAAGCTCACTGCACTCCCCAAATTGGGAACTTTTGAGAAAACAATGTAGAAAATTTAGTCCAATGGCTGGGACCCAGGCTTACTTATGTCCAAACTCGCTCTCTAAGTGCCTCCATGCAGAGCCCATGGCTGTCCCCACCTCTGGAACTTGACTCAGCAAGAAAGTCTGCTTTGGTGATCAGCACTCAGGCCAACACACACATGGGCCGGGCAGACAGCAGCTGGAACCCATGTAGGCAGCAGGTGGCCTGTCTCTTCACATCTTCAGATCAGGACTTAGAAAAATTTCAGAGGTGCTGCCAAGAAAGGGAAAGACCCCAGGAGCAAGGACAGCCAGGTATGTGCCACCCTGTCCATCCACCCTATACCCCTGAAGTCCATAGGCACCTCTGGAGCAGACTCCAGGAATCAACATATGCTGTTGACAGGCAGCATCACCATTTGGTCTTTGGTTCCCAGTGGGAGAAGGGGCAGCATGAGCAAGTACAAGTCAACCCTTCCAGGTGTCCTGGGAGATGTGGAGAGCCACTCTCTCAAGAGTCCTGCAAGTCAAAGCTCCAGAACATAGGCTGAGCACTGATGCCCCGCACCACCTGCACAATCACTCCAGTGCCACTGGTGCACTGGAAGTCATTCTCCTCCACCACCGCTGCCAAATCACCTCCTTCGTGGCTCTGCAGGAAAGAAACATACAAGCAGCCAACAGATGGCACCCAACAAGAGGCTTGAATGTCAGCAGGACTGAACAGGTTGCCCCTCCTTGCAGGCTAATCTCATCCCCAAACAACTGGGATCCTGTCTTTCAGCCCTTGGTGGGCGGTGGGGAGTCCACCTGAGAATTCCCTGCTGGCCCATTGTGACCATTGCAGGGAAAGGAGGACATGGAAAATCATTGGTCCTCTGGGGCCATCAGCCCAATAGGGGACCAACCAGGCATCACGGATTTGAAAGATTTCCCTGAAGTCTGATGCATTACAGGCGCAAGATTCCAAGTGAGACACCAGCCATTACTGGGCTCCCAGGAGGACCTAGGAAATTTTTTGTGCCTGGGGACTCTAAAACCTTAGCGAAGTGAGTATTCACAGGAGAACAACAGAAGAAACATTTTCTGGTTTTTCTTTTTCCTCTTTTAAAAATTGAATTTATTGTGGGAACACTGATTAATAAAACCACAGATTTTAAAGAATGTGATAAAGCAGAGTAAAGAATCCTTGTATGGAACTCCTAAAAAATAAAAACCCCTACAAATTTTTAAGTCTACATCTCAAAGAAACCTCATCTAGCACTCACTGCACAAGTTATAAGGTCTTTTCCTCCTGTTTTATCCCCATGTTTTTCCTTTGCTGTCTTTGATTTCCCCTACCCCACCATAAATCTACCACATCCAGAACAAGAAGGAGGTCTTTCCAAGGCATACAAATGAAAATGGAAGCCATACAGGCCAGGCTACATAAAAGTTTAAGAAAAATCTGCCCTGTTTGGTGTGGCTCAGTGGATTGAGCACAGGCCTGAAAACCAAGGGGTCATTGGTTCAATTCTCAGTCAGGGTACTTGCCTGGGTTGTGGGTCAGGTCCCCAATATGAGGGACAGAAGAGGCATGCTCACATTGATGTTTCCTTCCCTCTCTTCCTCCCTCATTTCCCTCTCTTTAAAAATAAATAAATTCTTTTTTAAAGAGTTTAAGAGAAATCTGTCTCTGCATATACCACAACAAAACACAAAGAAAGTATGTGGATGGATGTTGGCAACATTGGTACAATGCCAGTTGGTTGTGGGTTTCAACATTACTTACCATAACAACATGAGAGCAATGTGTGGATTATGTGGGTTGGAAATAAGGTAAATAAGTGATGAAATGTTCCATGAAACTTAAAAACTAGTTGATCTAGCCCTGTCTAGGTAGCTCAGTTGCTTATAGCATCATCCATATACATTAAGGTTGCAGGTTTTGTATGTGCCTTATGCCCACAGTCAGGACATACAAAAAATTGAACAAAGAATGCCTAAATAAGAGGAACAACAAATTGATGTTTCTCACTCTCCTTCTACATTTCTCTCTCCAAACCATTAAATTCATAAAATAAAATAAAAATTTAAATGTATATATGCAGCAAGGGATCTGCTTAAAACCACACAGCAGCAAAAATGAAGCATATGGTCAATGGCCTAGTCCCACTAGGCCTGGGGTGACCAACTGCCAATGCTTGCTCCTACACCACACTGCCTCTCACACACTTTGACAGACTGAAGGGAGTATATAAGGGCATTGTCCCAGTGGCTTGGGTGTGAACCTGTGAGAAGGTAATAGGACCACATTTGGGAGGAATCCTTGCATAACTCTTCCCTACCACTATGCTTTGATTCCAACCTCACATGTTCTGTCTGCCCCTGGGATCACTTCCTTGCATGGCACGAGGGTGTGCACCAAGTTAAGGACCAGATGGCAATTGGACCTTATTCTCATCCTGTCTGGGAACAGAATCCACCAAAGAAATGGGAGCGCATGGATGTGTAGGAGATCACCAGAGGCTTTGATAAGAAATCATTTAGAATCTTTCAGAGAAATGTGATGCCTCTGAGGGGAGGTAGGAAGGCCAGCAAGCTTTGCCTTACCTCATGCTTTATCCTCTATTCCCTCAGTGACTGGGTGTCCATTAAGTGATTGTGCAGATTTGCCCATGATCATATCAACGTGGTTGGGGAAGGAAAATAATGGAATTTGTCAATACATATGATAGGGTTTAATATCCCTTTCTTTATTTTATAAAGAACATAGAATATCAATACTGAAAATGCAGCAATGCAATTTAAAAGATAGAAAAAGAACCTTAATAGACCCTACTGTAAATAGGGCATAAAGGTTAATAGGCTATGAAAAGATTCTCAATGTTTCTGATCATTACAGACACACAAATTAAAAGCTGTTGTAAAAAGTCAAATGCCAGCTGTTTTGAGGTAGCTTTTTTTTTAGGCAATAAAACCTATACAGTGATTCCTATAGTAAATTGTTAATAAAGGTCCTTTTTTAAAAGATTATGTTAACTTACTTTCAGAGAGAGGGGGAGGGAGGGAGAAAGAAAGGGGGAGTAACATAAATGTGTGAGAGAAATGCCACGCCCTCTTCCAACCATGCTTTTTGACAAGGTCTGAACATGGAAAGAGGGCATTCAAGGAATCCATCTTCCTGGAAGAGAGCGTGGCATACAAAGGGGGGCGGTAATTTTTCTGGGGATTGCTTTTAATAATTTCCTTGCTAATATTAATCATGGTCTTACTTTGTACCCTGATTCCCATAAGAACAGGCCATGAGAAAAAAAAAAGTCTCAAAGAGAGTCAACGATTAACTTTGAGGGAAATTCTGAAGGGACAACTAGTTCTCCTTAGACTATTGAATCATGCCCAGATTGTTTTAAACAAGGTGTTTATAAACCTGAGTAAGAAATTATCCCCGATTGTTCCCATAAAAGAATTCATGAATCAGTTACAATAGGTTGAATTATTGGCAGACTTTCCCACGTCTGTTCCTTACCCATAGATATAAAGAGTCTTTCAAGAAAACAAGAAAAAACTATATAGACCTCTACCCACAGCCCAAAGATACCCCTGGGTAGCATATTAGATTACTGGCAAATTATGGTATTCCCCAAAAGGAGCTAATAGTCTCCAGAGGGTTCCAGATCCCCCATTGCCTTATACAGGAGCATGTAATGAGGGTGGCATTAGAATGGTCAATAAGGATGAAGTCCAAGTGCCTTATAATTAGTCTAAATTTCATGGAAAGGCTAGCTCGAAGCAGACCTCCCTGGTGTTTATTAATTAAGGAATAAAAAGGGTTTATTGTAGCTGAATTTCCTGTTTATCTCTCCTTACATGTTTGTTTTGGTAATTAAAAGGTGGTGGGATTGTTAGATACCTGTATTTCAGGTTTATTAATTCGCATAATTACAATTAAGTTGTATAAAATAATTTCTTGACCAGAGAATAAAATCCCCTCTAATGAAATAGCCCCTGAACGTCTAAAAGTTGTTGGAGTAACAGCCCCAACTTTACCTTGAATAGGAATATATATCAAGTAGAATTAGACAGGCAAAGAAAGAAGAAAAGCTGGTTAACTATTATAAATTAAGCACGTAGAAACAGTTACCAGGGAGTCAGAGTTCATAGTGCATAGAGAAATATTTTAGACAGAAAAGGTAAATAGGTAAGTTAGACATTACAAAGGCCTTATAATAAATTTCCTATAACCTCTATTCAATTTAGCATATCCTTTTGCCCCATGACAAATTCTGAGAACTTTAATAAACAATAAGATATTCAAATTCTGTATATACAGCTATTTTTAACTGTCTGATTTATGGCTCTCCTGGTCAAAATAATCTTTGTTTAATATAACTGAATCTATGGGAATTTTTGTACTTTTCCTGGTTACCTTTGTATTAATTTTTTTCTGCTTCACCTAATCACAAATATCAATCACTGCTAAAAATGAAAGTATAAAAACCTGCTTGTACTTGCAATAAACGGAACAGAGCATCACTGTCCTCTGAGGCATGTTGTCATCTGTCTCCCATCGCCGACACCTTACCCACCTTTCAGGAACCTCTGGACCTAGCTGTGGCCAGACCACAGCAGAGAAACATTGATATTTTTCCTTTCAGGAGCTCCCAAAAGGGGACCTGGCATGTAATCCAGGCACATGCCAGCTACCATTGGTTCACATGCTGATGTTTAAACCTCTGAGCCACACCAGCCAGGGCAAAAAAAGATTTTGTAAATATCTATGTTGTCGTTTTAAAGTAGCATTTGAGGCCATTATTTATAATTAATTTATTAACATATAGTATCATAAATTGAAATTACTGCTTTGAAAAATTTCATTCCACATTTTCACAAGGACATTTTCAGTCAAGTCTCCTT